AGGCTCTTTTTAGTCAATTACGTTTTGTTATACGAATTTGTCATCTCTCTTTTTTTTGTGTGTATGACTTTCTTTAATGTTGCGGAAAGCTCACAGAAAGGAGCTTGAATTCGACCTTGAACTTATTTACTAGTCAAATAAATTTAAATATTTTTTTTGTTGACATCAAAATATTGTTTGTTGTAATCAATTATTGACCGAAAAATATGCGACGATGCATAAAGTTTTTTAATTATTGATATTAGTTTGATTAAACCGTTGTTTATGTAATTTTCTGAAACAATTTTTTGAGTATTTTTTCTTTTCTAAAACTCCTTCAATTTTGCGTTTGTCTTGAAGTGCGTACAAATCCCTAAAGCATAAGTTAGACTACACCTAATTAAATGAAAACTTGTACCGAAGAAATGGGAAGTAAATAAAGGGTAGAGTAACGATGAAACAGAGAGTCAACGTTTAGGTAAGAACGCGCGAATCCCACATTGCGACAGTTTTGCTGCGTCCCACTTACGTTGTATTGGTGCTATTGTAGTTGTCGTAACGTTTGGAGGGTTACTTCGGGCCGAGACGGAGTTTGTTGACTTGTATAAAAAATTAAGAGCATTAATATCGTGATTTTCTAAAAAAACTATCTAATATATATGATACTAGCGTGATATCCGCGCCCTACGCAGAGATAAGTTTTTGTTAATAATTTATTGTTCCAGCGCTGTTAGTCCTTAAAATATGATTTACGTTTTTATATAGAAAATTTTTAATTCTAATTTGAAACTCAAATCATACAACTAAAGGATGTGGACGGCGAATCCTACACAGTTGAATTTGTCAAGGGTCGAAAGGAGAACTGAGTCTTCTGAGTATGAATCACAAAGCAAAAGTCGAAGATATGTTTTATTGCTGTTTCTGCAAAGCTCTCGTTACAAAATGAATCGATCCCCTTTTTGGGAGATGATAATGAACTATATATAGTTCTTCTAAGTAAAATGGGTCAGCTAATAAATGGGCTTGGCCCTTTAAGTAATATATATAAATTATGCCCATTATTTCATTAAACCCATTTTGATTATGGGTTTAATGTCATTTTGGACCTAGATTCAGACTGGGCCCTTGTAGTTTTGATCCGATTTCGTCAGGACGCTGCAACGTTGATTTTGTCGCTATATCGATCTCATAGGGGTGAAATCCGACCCCTACAGTTAGCCCCCAGCTTGGCAGTATCGAGTTACNATGATGCCAANGTAAAGTTTCTGAGATCGATATGTTGGACTGTGAAATTGCCAAGCGTGGACGTCTTATCACCAAACTCGGGAAGTTTCCGTTATTCCGTGTTGAGCCGATGTCAGCGTGTTTTCCTGGACTTGTTTTCTTTTTCTTTTACTTAGAAGACTGAGGCCTAGATATCTTGTCATCGAACTCGGAAAGTTTCTGTTATTCCACGTTGAGCCGATGTCGGCATGTTTTCCTGGGCTTGTAATCTTTTTTTTTTGTTTTTCTTGAAAGACTGATAGAGTTGATGATCTTGATGCGTTAGTGGACATTGAGGCCTGCTGGAAAATTTTCTGGAATTTTTCCAAAAAATAGACAAAGTGTTTTTAAGAAATCTTCCAACTATAAATAAGCATGCTTCCTCTAATTATATTTTTTTATCAATTCACTTTTTCCTAAGTAAAAGGTAAAAAATTTCTCTCTTTATTTTATTATTATTTTTTATAGGTTTCGGTTGTTTTTTGTTTTTTTTGGGCCGCAGTTTCCTCAATCATCGGCTTCCTCTTCATCTTCATCGATTCTTCTAACCAAAAGATTTCTTCTCGCAGCAGCCTTTTACTTCCTCTTCGTCTTCACGTCGTCGTCATCGTCCAAAACAGGCGATATGGAGTCTACG